AAAGCAAGTGGGGTACAGCCTTGAGAATCTGCATCGGTAGGGGACGAAGGGTTGCGTGGTTCATCCGACATTAGAGAAAGACAACTTTGAACTGTAGAGCAGGGAAGGACTCTATGGATCATTGAGTCCAGCCCCTCTCAAAGAGGCACAGTGGGGAATCTGACCCCCAGCATGTGGCTTCACAGCCAGAGACCTCAGCCACTGAGCTATCCCGCAGCTGTAAGGACTTACAGTGACAGACCAAAGGTACTAATAGCCAGAGACCTCAACCACTGAGCTATCCCGCAGTTGTAAGGACTTAAAGTGACAGACCAAAGGTACTAACGATACATCCTGAGGATCGGTGACTCCACTCTGGGTTTTACTTTGGTTCACTCCTTTAGAGCAGTGGTCCCCAACCTTGGGCCTCCAGATGTTCTTGGACTTCAACTCCCAGAAATCCTGGCCAACAGAGTTGGTGATGAAAGCTTCTGGGAGTTGTAGTCCAAGAACATCTGGAGGCCCAAGGTTGGGGACCACTGCTCTAAAGGAGTGAACCAAAGTGCTGGACCTCTGTTTCAGGACCTTGGATAGCTCCAAATGGCTTAGACTGAACCCAGGGGGGATTCGCCCTCACCACTTGTCTCAAGTCTAAACATGCCCAGCTCTTTCAGGCAGCATCTGCTCTCACTGAAATCGAATAGATGGTTTGAACGTTGTCTTTCCCATTGCTTTTCTTGCCCTCAGCTGTCATCCGTCTCTCCTTTCCTGGGTTGGGCGTGTGAGTCGTCTTCCTACCTTGGTCCTTACGCAGTGAGCAAGGATGGTGTCACAAGGCTCGGGAGCCAATCGGGTTGGGCTGTGTGGTCCATGAGAGCAAGTGAGGACTCAATGCAGAAGTGAACTTTTTTATTTTCGACATGCTGAAAAATCTTTGGAAAGTGGGAGGCAATTTATATGTTTTTTTTTCCTAGCCCTGCCAAAACTTTCTTTTTTAAAAAATGGGAAGAGAATGGTGAGCCATATAATTGAAATTCTTGGCGCAGCATCAGGAGAACGGAGTGAAAACCGAGCACGGTGGAGGCTGGCCGGACTCCAGCCAAATTCATTTTCCTCTGTGCGACCTTTCAAAGGCAGGAAGTTAGTGTTAATTGATCTTCTGAAGCTGAGACAGGACCTTGAAGCCTTGAAAGTATACAGGCAAGAGAAGGAAGTGGGAGCGGGGATTAAAACACATGGATGCACTGGCAAAGACGAGCCAAGAGGGGGCACTGTTTCATAAGTTGAAGACAAAATTATTCAACAGGATGTGTGCGATTTCTTGTGTAGAGTCTTACAAAGAGTCGAATGCTTCGGCTGACTTGGTCTTTTGTCTGCCTGCCTTTTTGTCTGCCTTAAACCAATTTGAGAGTTATGCTGCTACCTTCAAAAAGACCCACAATATAGATATTGAGTCAGGATGTGTTGGGGAATGAAAAGAAGAATACGTTAAAGGTTGTGTAGGTGGAGATCATAGTACAGTGGTGCCTCGACTTATGAACTTCATTGGATCNGTGGTGCCTCGACTTATGAACTTAATTGGATTGGGAAGATGGGTGTAAGTTGAAATGGTCGTATGTCGAAGCACCATTTCCCATTGAAATGCAAATAATCCGTTCCGGCCGAAGAAAAAAATCAGAAAAAATCACTGCAAGATTCATTGGAAGCATGATTAATCCCTTCCGGCCGAAAGGGGTGGGGAGAAAAGCAATCAAGCATGCCCATTGGAAGCACGATTAATCCCTTCCGGCCGAAGGCGGTGGGGAGAAAAGCAATCAAGCATGCAAGACCCATTGGAAATGCTCAGGGAACAAAGGGAGCAGTTCAGAAATGCACAGAAAATAAACAGAGCAGTTCGGAAATGCACAGAGAACAAACGGAACAGTTCAGAAATGCAAAGAGAACAAAGGAGAAAGCAAGAGAAGCATGAAAGAGGGAGGTTCATAAATTGAAGCACCACTGTAATAACCCTCCCTTTCCTTGAGATATGTAAATCCTCGCTCCTGTCATTTTGGGGAGGAATTGGAAAAGCTTTCTCCTCACCTGGCAGGAGGCAAGATCTTTTCTGAGATACAGATAAAACGTATGCGTTTTGCACAAATTACAAGTGCATTATGTGCAAATTACTCCGAATTCAGTCATTCACATATTGATGTGTGGGTACTTACGAATTGGAAGCACTATATGGGTTATTTGTGTCTTTTTCAAAACAATTATCCCCTTTTCTGTGGCTAGCTGTTTTTAAAAAGCTGGGTTTGACCCCCAGGCTCTGTCAGGTTGTGGAAGTGGTAAAACCGCTCCCTAAATGCCTCCCTTACCTTGACGTTAACATGCTATTCAGAGCATGTTACCATAGTCTCTTGAGACTGAAGGATGCCTACAGTATACCTTGACAAGCCTATGAGGGTTGCTACAAGCCCGTGCTGACTTGATGGTGCATAACGGGAAGAACAACAAACCAGTCGAACAGGGAAAGCCTCCTAATAGCATGACATTCGACCAATCGAAGTCAATACCGTCATCAATAACGAAATCATGCTAATTGCAAAGGGGTCCTCTTGATGATGTAAAGGTTAATGTAGGGGCTTTATTTAACAAACAAACAAACACAGATACATTAACCTCTCCCCCTTCACGACCTAATTCTACCTCATATGTTGACCTCATTATATAAAGCAGAGGGGGGGAGGGAGAGTTGGGAGGAGATATGTCAAATTAAGCTTTCCATATGTGTTTCAGAGCCCACGTTGGGGGCCATTGAACAGCCCATTCCAGCACTAAGTGGCATCATGGCATTGATTTTCTTCCTAATGGGTTACCCACTTAGTCCTCCCTTCCTTTAACTCACCATTGCATTATGCGTTCTTTGGAAGTATATCTGTTCTAATATTCAATGCTGTGGACTAATTAGCAAAAACGGCTCAATCACTAGAGTCATGGGGCTTCCCCCCCTTTCTCCCTTTGATTCCACCCCCCACTGACCCACCAACCCACCCACCGTCCACTGGTCCCGGATTGTACTCCTAATCCTGTCCGGAGAAAATGTCATCCCTAATAAACCAGAAACTGGCTCACCTCGGTAGTGTGTTTCATGGTGCAGAGAACAATCTCCAGTTTGGGAGGAAACTGTAACCCGCCATCAAGTGCCGGCTGTCATGAACCTGATCATAAGTGACAATGAACCTCTCCCAGGCAAAGCACAGGGGCATCGCTGGGCCAAAAATATTGAGCGATTTCGGATGGCAGAGAAAGATTCAAGCAGAGTTCTTTTCTCTCTGGCCTTTTTAGCCATCAGTTCCTTTGGAATGTCTTCCTTCCTCCCCTCTTAAAATTGCCCAACTCATCGAAGAAATTAAGGAAGTACCTTGCTAGGTCAGAAGAACAGCTTTTCTAAGCTGTTGACAATAATTATCTTAGAACTGCAAAGCTGGAAGGGACCCTTACGGATCATCCAGTCCTGCCCCGATCAAGAAGGGCTAGTGGTGATTCAAATTCCCAACCTCTGACTTTGCAGCCAATTGCCTAAATCATAAGTACTCATGTCTTCATAAGTACTTAAAAAACTCTCTGGCAATAACACACAAAACAGAGGGATTGTTATTGGCTTGGGGACACCTGCAGAAAGAGTCATTTTCAGTAGACTTTGAAACCGAATAGAGATTTCAATCTATGTGATGGGCCAATAAGGTAGATCCACCAACGTTGAGCTGTTTTTCTTGGGCCAGAATCCTGTTGGAATCATTGCGTAAGGAAGGGCCCATCACACAACCAGTGTGTATTGTTTCGTGGGCTGTCCATCTCGCCCTTACTCATATCCTTGTCTGGAATCAGCTCCCCACTTGAATGAGCAACAGAGAGCCCATCGGATATGAAATGCATGGTGGCCCTTCTGGTGATTTCCAAGAGGACTCTGGTGATGTTAATGGTTTTGTTGTCTACTTTGTTTCGAAACTTGTTTTGAGCTTGTTTTTAATGCTTGATGGAGAGGTGAGAGAGAAATGCAATAAAAGAAATAACAATATATGAAATAACAGAGTCAAACCCTCTCCTGGAGCCATTGGATTGGATTTGGTTTAGAAAAAGAACAATTGCACGTCATCCGAAATATTTGGGAAAGGATTCGTCATTTCGCCAAGCTGATCCAACACAAGCCACAGCTTGTCCTTTATATCTAATCCTGAGTAAAACTACAGATTGCATTGAATGGGAAGAGAATAAGAGATAAGTCTATTATTTCCTCTCAAAAGCTGGGAAGGAGGGAAGCCATATATCTTCAATGAACTAATCTAACACATGCCTCTCAGTTTCTTGGCTTTGCTGTATTTGCACCCCAATTCTCAGCTCAAACATGGTTTGCAAAAAATGCACATTTTCGTATTGTGTTCTAGAGCATCTAGAGCAGTGGATCTCAAACTTCCAAGGAGTTCTTGGACTAAAACTCTCAGAACCCATCCCCACTGGCTGTGCTGGCCAGGATTTCTGGGAGTTGGAGTCCAAGAACATCTGGAGATCCAATGTTGGGAACCACTGAATGGAGATGATCCATTCAGGATGGCTAGCTTATTGCATTGTTGTTGTTGTTGTTGTTGTTGTTGTTGGTGGTGGTGGTGGTGGTGGTGTCATTTTACTAGTTCTTCCTCTTCTTCTTCTTCTTCCTCCTCCTCTTCTTCTTCTTCTTCTTCTTCTTCTTCTTCTTCTTCTTCTTCTTCTTCTTCTTCTTCTTCTTCTTCTTCTTCTTCTTCTTCTTCTTCTTCTTCTTCTTCTTCTTCTTCCTTCCTTCCTTCTCCTCCAGTGGGGAAAAACATTTTCTAGCCTGCTTAGAAAAGGTATTTTGTTTTCATATTGCATGGCTTTGGATCCACAGTTGTTTTAGATTCTTTGATCGGGCAAAGCTGGGCTTTTCCTGCATGAAGAGAAGGTAGACAAAAGTCCAGCAAGGACAACAATGTAATGTACTGTCCTGTCGCTCTCCTTTCCAACAGAGCAAAAGTGAAGAAAGGGGTCAATATCCTCAGCGCAAAGGCGAGCAACCCAAGACAGTGGGACGTGACCCAAGAAATCGGCAATGGCGGGAAACATTCAACGACCACTGTGATGTGCCAGAGAATAAGCCAGAGTCCAAGGAGCAGGTGAGTGGGTCGAAAAACGTGGTTTTGGCAGGGCCTCTTCTGTGATGACAGTGGCCATGTGTGGAATGGCTTTGATGCGGAGTCTACCAAGTCGTAGCAAAAGCTTTGAAAGGGTTGGCGTGGGGAACTTCTAAAAGCCGTCCGACCAGTCGCTTGGAGAAGCTGAGTTCTCACGACATGGATCTATGTTTTGATCTCACAGGACCTTTGTGGCCTTTTTGGTAGGAACTCAAAACTGTGTGAACTCAAAAGTTAGCTGTGGGGCCCTTCTTGATAGCATTTGGTCATAGCATCACTACAACAAGAACCAAAATGCCAGACTAATTGGGAATTTGGTCTGATCTAGCATATGTTCTGATACCTTCCGAAAAGTGTTTAGAATGTTTTAGGACCCTTGACTTTATTCTATAATGGTGGGCCCTCTTCCTTCCCCTCCTCTTCTTCATCCTCTTCCTCTTCATCCTCCTTCTTTTCCTTGGCACGTTGACAACATCAATCCAAGGGAAGATACAATAAGTCTCTGCCCACAGAGCAAGACATAGTATCACCCCACCCGAGAAGTCTCTGTAGCGGACAGATATTCTGTTCCACAGTGACACCTGTCCTTCATAGTTGACAATGTTGGAAGGGCGTGTCATTGGTTCTGTCTCCTTCTCGACACATTATGGCCCCAAATAGGTCCATGCTTCTAATTTTGCAGGAGCAGTGAATCCGAACTTTACGAGAGCTATCCAGAGCGCTAGATGCTGTGCCTCCTGTTGGTTCAGCACCTCGGATAGCTCATGTGAAGTTCCACCCCGGACCTGCAGCGGATTCGCTAACCGTCACCCCTGGAAAATTGGAATAATCCACTTCTCCTGATCTTGTGTCCGGTTAACGAGGGGGAGCGTGGGTGGAGATGACCACTCCGTGTTTCTGAAGCAGAGAGAACATCTGTCATCCACCAGCGGCTTAGAGTCTTAAATCCATCTGTAACCGGCAGCGTTCTGAACAGTGGAATTGGCAGTGGAAAGCTTGCAATGTAAAAAGAGGAAAGAAGCCGTGGCTCTTTCAACAGCAGCAGCAGCTGCAAATAAAAATGAGGAGCAACATTCTTGAAGAGGAAGCTAGGGGTTGCACGAGGAACATCAGTGTACACCTATATCACTTTAATTGAGTAATCAAGTAGAATTTGCTAAGCTGCCAAGCTGTTTCCACTCCCCAACCACCCCTGATGAAATCTGTACATACCGCAGATCTACCATTCTGTCTTTTCCCAAGGTCATTTGTTTCCTCCATGAGGTCCTCCCAGGCCATGATCCTCCGGGTTGCTACTCCACGGGAGGCCAGGGAACCATCCACTAGAAGCAGGGCCTTCTTTGCTGTGGCACCAACTCCATGCAATCAGCTGCTGGTGGAGCTGCGCCTGGCACCTTCCCACCTGACATTCAAAAGATGCTTGAAAACACGGCTTTATAGTGAGGCTGTTTTTGACACCCCTGTTTAATGTGTTCCTCTGCTGCTATGCTTGTTCACAGCACATGCCCCATGCCACATTTTCTGCTTCTTGGTATTGTTGTATTTTCGATTTATGCTGTTTTTTGCTTGCTTTATTTTCACTGGGTTTTTAGCCAACGGTAAACCACCCAGAGCAGTGCGTCATACTACTGGGCTGGTATATACATTTAAGAAATAAACAAATCTTTGGGATCTTCTCATCCTTTTTGTTTGGTAAGAGGCCTTGGTCTCTTCTTCAGGCACGTGGAATTCCGCTTGCACTGAAAGTTTGCTTTTCCAAGTTTCTAGACCTGGTGGTTCCGAAGACTGGAAAGCCACCTTGCACCTCTTCTCTGTGACTAGCAAAAGTGTTCTGGGAAACAGCTTCCTTCCCCCACCCTCCCAAATGGCAAGGTTCAGGCAGTGGGGTGGAATCAGTTTTGCATGTCATTTGGAGTTATGCTGCCTTGTGAGCTGTGCATGAGGGTCACTGGTTGCGCCCGACCTGCTGCATATGATGCTCTTTGCGTGAGGATTGTGCGAGCAGCCTCATCAATGGTGCATGAAGCATAGAGCAGACATTTCTTTGATGGGACCATATCAGGGTTTGGGAAGTATGGGGCTGAGACAGGCAAAGCTGCCTTGCTCCTGAACGTTAACCTGTTCTGACTCCTCAAAACTGCCATCTCTGTTTGGGTCTTGTTGGCCCCACCAGCCAGAGGAAGACAGCGATGCGGTCGGTGAAGGCTCTTCTTTCTCTGTATGGCTGTCAGTTGTGAAAATGAAGCTTGTGTCTCTTCCCGGGGGCATTTCTGTGGCCGGTGAAGCCATCCGTTGGAAGCTGTGGAGATGTTCCAGGAGGTCACCTATGGCTGTGTTTTGCCTGGCCCCGGTCTAAGGAAGTCGTTGAGCTGCTAGGGCTCAGTGGGTTGGTGCAACTGACTGCAAAGCCAGGAGAGAGGGAGTTTGAATCCTCGCGGTGCTTCCTATGAGAGGGGCTGGCTGAGATCTCCCAGAACGCGTGCGACTCGTGGTGTTACGTGCCCAACGAACTCTTCCTTGGAGGACTTGGCCATGTCCTTTCACCGTTCTGGTCAGCCTTTTCTGGATCCGCTCCACGGTCTCCTTTGGTGGCTTCCATTCTCTTTGAGAAATGTCCCACCTGGCAAGCCTTCAGGACATTCTGGCATGTTGCTCGTGGTGCTGTCTCTGCGGATCAGGGGTGTTTGATTAAACTAATGTGATTTGGCAATGGACGGCCATCTCTTAATGGGATCTCTGTGTC